ATTACCCCTTATACCTCCCTGCCTCTCTCTTCCTCCATCCGGGTATCCTATTTGGTGCCCGAAAAACTCCTTGCTTACATTTCTTTGAATGTAGATCTGTTGTAACAAATTCTCTGTTTTTTTTTTTTTTTTTAAACATCTTCTTTATCGTACCTTTAATTTTGAAAGTGTTTCTTCTGCATGTATAGAACTCTAGCTTTATTGTTTGTTTGTTTTGGAACTTTGAAATATTATTTCATTGTCTTCTGACTTATGTAGTTTCTGTTATGAGGACACTTGCCAATTTTACTTTTGTGACTTTAAAGATAATTTGTCCTTTTTTTCCCTCTGGCTTTTCCCCCCTTCGTTGTTTGTTTGGGTCTGGTCATTGGCTTCCCGCAGTTTTTACTATCATTTGGCAAGCTGTGCTTTTCTTCTCGTCATTTGCATTGTTTCTGAAATCAGTAGCTTGAATTACATTTGGAAAATTCTTGAATATTACTTTCAAATTTTCCTTCTGCCTTGATCTTTCTTTTCTTCTTTTCTAAAACTCTACTTGTACCTATGTTAGACGGCTTTGAGTTTCATATTTCTCTCATGCTGTTTTTCTCTATTGTCCATCTCCCTTTTCTTTTTTTGTTTCAGTTTAGATATTTTTAATTTAATGCTAGGAGTTGTGTACAAAAGTTAGAGAAGCTTTGGATGATAATTTTTCTCCAGAGAAGGTTTCATTGGCTTATGGCAGACAAGTAAAATAGTGGTACATCAGTTAAATCTAATAAGGAATTAAGTTCATTTGAGCCTGGGGTTCAGTCTCTGTAAAGCCTGGTCTCTATTTCTGGTTTGCCCTTACTTGTAAAGTACAGCTTTTTGGGGGCCACAAATGAAAGCCTGGGAGATTTTCTATTGCCTCACAATCATAAAGGACACGTCATTATTTTGTCTCCCCCACATGTAATCTGATGAGAGCTATGCTTAGTTTTTCCAATCTCTTAGCAGCCACCTTATACTTAGCTTGTCTGCTTCTCAAACCTAGCTGCTTATGGAGTGTTGAATGGCCTGTAGTGAACCTGGTCCAGATCTTTCTTTTCTGTAGTTCTTTTCTCTAGATAATCTTTCCTCTCAAATTCTGATGTTTTAGTAGTCCTAAACTCCAATCCCCACCCCCAGCCTTATAACATTTTAATACTGTTTTATTCTACTGTTCTGCAACTTAGTAGTCATGCTATGCTAGTTTCTCATCTCTGTGAATTTAAAAATTGGCCTCAGTGGAAAAGTACCAAAAACACTACAATTGTTTTGGTGAGCTTCTCTTTTCACCAATGTCTTGGTCTCTCAAATTCTGATTGCCTGGATGGCTTTCCTATGCCATCAATGAGATTTTTTGCATTGACCAAGCTTTCTTAGGTTTGTTTTTTATCTCTTCTTTCCTCCCTCCCTCCCTCCCTCCCTCCCTCCCTCCCTCCCTCCCTCCCTCCCTCCCTCCCTCCTTCTCTCCCTTCCTTCCCATGAAAGCCAGAAGCTACTTAATAATTTTTGTTATTAAACATGCTCTATTTTAAATGTCTTTTTTTCTGTTTTAGGATTTTCACTTTTTTCCTGTAATATCTTTGTTTTCAGAGCCTTCCTGCATCAGCTAGCAATTGCTGCATTATAAAGAACCCATACAATAGTAGGTTAAGACAACTATTTATCTCACAACTCTGTGGGCTGGCAATTTGGGCTGGGCTCAGCTGAGCCCTTAGTTCTGTTGTTGTGAGTCAGCCTTGGCTAATCTCCTATGGGGCTCACTCAGTCCCTGCTGTTGGCTGCTGGGTTGGCTAGGAACTGGCAAATAAAAAGTGTTTTGGTTCTTCTCTATGTGGTCTCTCATCCATCAGCAGGCTCTCCTCATGCTTGTTCATGAGGTGGCAGGATTTCAAGCACAAAAGCAGACACATGCATACAAAAGCTTCTTCAGAAACCACCCACTATTGATTCTTCTGCATTGTTTTGACAAAGGAGGTCACAAGGCCAGCCCATATTCAAGATAGGGAGAAATAAACTCCACCTCTTGTTTGGAAAAGCTAAAAAGAACGGTTGTCATATTTTTAATCTATAACACTTGCTAAAGTCGTCATGAATTCTAATATTAAATCTCTTGTACTTTTGTACAGGGTGTCCCCAAAACATATATACACACTTTAACAGCTGAAGGCTCAATTGATGTTTCTTTCTTTTCAGCCAGACTAACCTTTGAACAAAGGAGATTCATCCTAAAATGCTACTGGAAGTTTGAAAATGCACTTGAAGTACAAACACTGTCTTTATAATTATTCAAAGTATGTATACATTTTGGGGGGAGCAACCCCAAAATGTATCCACAGTTTAAAAGCTGGTAACTCAATTTTCACTGTTTCAGGTTTAACTGATTTAAATAATGGGTGAAGCCAGACTAAGCTTTGAACAAAGACAATTTATCCACTAGACTATTTTATGGGGATACATAAACGATAAAGCTTATGGTACAAAACCAGCTACAGTTGACGAATTGAGGGCCCGCAAATACCAAACAAAATGATTGTTGATGTTTGCAATTCCATTGCTTCACATTACCAGCAGGGCCTGGACAAGAACAGTTATTGATTTGAAAACAGGCATTGACAAAATATATATATTCATTTCTGTAGATTATTTTAAATTTTGAAAATGAACTATATGTTAATAAACACTGACTTTATAATCATTCAAAATGTGTATACTTTTTTTGGACACTCTATATATTAATAGTCTCATCCACTGAGAATAATGATAGTTTTTTTCCTTTCCAATTTTTACATTGCCATTTCCTTTCATTGCCTGATTGCACTTAATAGACCATCCTGTACAATTTCAAATGAAAGCAGTCTATCTATGTCATCATGAGAACCGTATAGGAAGAACTCAATGTTTACAACAGAGCTCTGTGGCTGTAACCACCCCTCCTCTTGATTTTCTTTTCCTTTCTATAGTTTCCTTCTGCATCTTTGTCTGGGGGTAGTGTGTGCAAGTAGCTCACCATGTCTGCATGTTCTGGATTGCAATCCTTTGTGTTTCCTGAATAAATAATTTTCAGTGATGGAATACCTAATTATTTCTGTTTTCCAGTTGACACTGGGTTGTATCATCACTCCACGTTTGGCTCTTTAGTTCTCTTGTAATACTTTTTAAAAAATGTTTTTAAATTGATTTTAGAGAGAGAGGAAGGGAGAGGGCTAGAGAGATAGAGACATCAATGAGAGAGAAACAGAGATTGGCTGCCTCCTGCACATCCCCTCCTGGGGATTGAGCCTGCAACCTGGCATGTGCCCTGAGGGGGAATCAAACCAGGAACCTCTTGTTTCGTGGGTCAGTGCTCAGTCACTGAGCCACACAGGACAGGCTCTAATACTTTTGTAACCAATACATTCTTTCAGACTTCAGTGCCATTTTCCAGATCAGTCCTTAATCAATATGTGTCTGCACTAATATTTACATAAGACACCCTATACTAAAACTTGTGTATATATAAATTTTGCCCCCAAATTGCTCAGTAATTATTTGTTGAATGAGTGAATATATGTGTGTCAGTGTTATTTGAAAACTGGGGATGGGGAATAGTTTAATGGTTCAAAGGTAAACTTACAAAACCCTATTAAAATTTAGTGTAACTATATGCTGATGATGTAATTTTAGTAAGGAGAATTAGAAGTGGTGCTAATAAGTTTGAATGGAACTATAGGATTAAAATGGTAACAGTCAGAAATTCAGAAATGAAGGCTGTCTGGAGGCAGTGATTGCAGTCAATGTTAAAATAAGTAGCTTTTGAACGTTTTTCACTTGGGCCCACGATAAGAAATATATTTTACATTGAGAATGAGCATGAAGATATATGCATGAGATGCCTGCTGCATTTTTTATTCATTTTCTTCTGTCATATCCCATCCAACATGATACATACAATTTGAAAAACATGGATCTAGGCATATTATAGGCACCACGGTAGTCTGTGGGAATTTATCTAAAGGATTAAGGCATAACTAATCCTTTGTTCACTCTGTCTTAACCTACAGGGGTTATCTCTGGTTTTTGTTCTGGTAACGGCAGCCTAATTTTCCTCTTGAAAATTATCCCTCTCCTTTTCTTAGTCCATAGGATGCAAGTCAATTTCCTGCCCATGCTTTGTGTTCCCCAGCACCCTCCAGTTCTACCAGCTCTGGGGAAGGCATGTCATTTGGTATCTCTCTGACTACACGAATGTCTCAGTAATCTGCACATAAGCTAAGAAAGGCCAATGAGCTCTGTTGCCAAAAACATGCTCTTGTTTTGCCAGTTTGGAGGTTGGAGAGAATCTGGCTGTAGCTCCTGGAAGCATCATATGAAGAAAGCTGCCTAGGAGGGAAGCCAACAAGAGCACAGAGATGGAGGACCGATGATATCACTTGTGACCTTAGATCCAATCACCGTTTCCAGGGCACCAGTAAATGTGCCTTTTGAAATTCTAATGTAAGAAAAAAGCTACCTATCAAATGATATTTAGTATGGGAATGACTTTAGATTTTATTAAAAATGTACATTTCCAGACCTCTTCTGTGTCCTAAATTTATGAATAAATAAAGCATAGATGGAAATCATTGACATCATCACTTGTATCTTAAATGGTATTATAAGTGTCTAAGACTATTGTTATATTGAAAAAAATAGGTTTGTTGGACATTTCAATGTCAATAGCGAATCTCAATCTTTTTTCAGTGCCCACACATTTTTAGTTTTGCTGCTCTGCGAGCCCTACTTCATGTATAGGGAAAAGACATTTGAAAAATACATATTATTCACATTAGGATTTTCACTGAAAGATACAATTAATGGAACTAAACCTCCCCCCAATTTAATATTTATTTTTTTTCTCGACCAGCATGTAGAGATGTCATATAACATTATCGATTTATTTAAAGCTATTTATAGAAGATAAATTTTAATGTAAAATAACTTTTTAAAATATAAATCACATTTTTTAGTTCTACTCAGTTGTAAATATCTGCGTAGTTTATTAATTTGAAAAAAATTGAAAATCAAAGTACAAAGTTTACTGAAGGCTGCCAATACAAAGAATTATCCATGAATGAAAAGCTTAAGCTACAGCTTTAAACATTACAGTGGAAAAATACATACAAAAGTGACACACCACATATAGTACCCATGTTATTCACTGATTGGTCACTGCCGTGATGTACAAATAAGGTTGTGCTAATTATACAATTTATCTCTATTAGACAGTCACTGATGTTCATTTCTTGGTGGCTTTTGAAATACATTATGTGAAGATCTAGACGACAGTTACTCATATTCAAATTCCCTTTTAAAAGTGAAGGCAACTTGTTCTCTATGGCAGAATTAAAACAGAGCAAGATATGGCAACACTCCAGGATCTCCAGGAAATGTTTATTAATCTCAGGTGGATAAATTTTGTTCCAAGCTGGGAGCTCTGGAGTTAGCAGACACAGTGAATCACTCATACAACATTTACATTTTGTATTTTGTATAAGTTATAAGAGGAAAGGATTGAGTTAGAAATCTTGTGCTTTCACTATTATTAGCTTTAATTATTGCTTGTGAATAGGGTTGCCCAAAGCAGGTGCACTTAATGATCCCATCTTAAAAGACCTGACAGGGAAAACAGAAATACACCACAGCTATTTTTACCTCTTGTGATTATGGCTCCGAGCATACAAAAACATTTACAGTGGAAGCTGCAACAAATTGGCTTCTTCTGCATCGCTATACATAGAACACTAAGTAACTTCTGGAGATGGGGGGGGGGGGGAGTCTCATTAAAAAGAAGGCACTTTTGAAATTAGTAAAAATAAATGAGAAGTAATCTGAAAAAAATTACGTCTGTATTTGTTTTCTTAATAAGTGTATCTTAAATATAACATTTTAGGAGCACTATCTTTTCTGCTGTAGCTATTACAAATTTCATTCCTGAGATTTTTGGACTCAATGAAAGTTTTTAAAGTAAGCAAAGAGGGAAAAACCGCTTTTCCCAGATGGGAAGCTGAACTGTGAATCAACAACTCAGCCAGTTACATTCTGTCATTTTTCATGCATCAGATTTTTCATTTAGGATTGTACGCACACTGTAATTTATTCCTTAACTGCCGCCAAATAGGCCACAACTTTAAAAGGTGACATGTTCAGCTGAAAGCTGGTATATACATAAAAGTTATTGTTACTAAATAGTTGCCATGGTCAGTAACCTCCCTCTTTTAAAATGCGAATATTGAAACAAAATGAGGCATGTTTTTTACATATGGTTCGATTTAAATAACAATTCAAGTATCCCCTTTAAAATGATGTTCTGAAAAACAATATTTATGAACCACAAATTTAAATACTTTTTTTTGAAAAGCAGAATATTCCTTGAATATCCTTTGTTTTAATCATTACCTAGACCATAAGGATCAAAATCTAGCTTTGATTCACATCATATTTTTGACAGTCCCCAATTTTTTCTCTATATATTTGACTAATCATTTAGAAAAAAATTAACATCAAGTGCATGAAGGGAAGTGTCATACAATAACATTTCACTTTGAAAGTTATATTCGAATGAAGATATGGTCTGAATATAAGTCACTTGTGCTTATCTTCAGTTATGGCTGATATAGAAGATGTTCACTGAGTTTTTACAGGAAGTGGAGTTGCATCATAGTCTTGAAAATGAACTCCCTTAGAATGTGTGATCTTCATAATAGCGCCATTTAAAGCATCATCTTCAATGAGTGTTATTAATCCATCGGCGATTGTTGATGGGCTAAAAGGAAAGGAAACACTGGTGTTTTAAACTAAAGATGAAGGCATAATTTTCACTTCAGTTTTTAGTTACTTTTGAATAATTTACTACTTTTAACATGTAATAGGAAAATGTTTATCAGGAAGCTGATAAACATTTTTTATCTTTTATTCAATTAGATAGTAACTAAGTTAGATGATAAATTAACTAGTAGATTTCCAATCCTAACCTGATATCATTTTGACAGGAAGGATTTATGAATTTATATTTATTATTTACATTGACAAAATTATTATTTTCTCATCTTTATTCTACCAGTACATGTTAGACTTATCAGAAGAAATGTTATTCGAGTAAAAATAGAAAGAATTTTAGCTAACATTAATTGCATGTCTGTTACTGAATCTGTTGCTGTTTTAAGTACTTTACATGGATCAACTTATTTGTGGACTTTCAAAAGTCCCCTAAGTTTGTTTTAATATTATCCCCATTTCACATGTGAGAAAACTGAGTTTGATGGAGAAGTTCATGGTCAGAAGTGGAGTCGGGCTCTGATCCCAGATGGTCTGATTCCATCAGCAGGATAGCTATGACTTTGTACTGTGAAATCTGACTGCTCTAATTCAGACATTGTTCACCAAACACGTGTTGATCCATTGTTTAGTATAAAAATGATTGCAGTTAGGGGGCCATATGAAATTTCACAAAGGGTATAAGTAAATGCAGTTTGGAATTTAGGCCGATAAGGAATCACTGCTTCCAAAGATAACTAAACATCACCTTTTTACACTATATCTGATTGTGGCTGAAGGTATTCATAATGCATTGTCTATATCTTAATGCAAAATTCATAATGTAGAAACAGTCTATTCAGAAACCCAGAAAAGATATTTTCTTTCACAGAGTATGCCAAAGTCAAACTTTGAAGTTTGCATTCGTTTCTCAACTTTAAAACTTTATTCCCCCTCCCCCTTTTTATTGCTTATTTGTAGATAGTGCTTTGCTCCATCAAATAAAAAAGATAGGTATAGCTTTACTCACTCCAAAATCCCATAGTATTTCATCATATCTTTGATGTGGTATGCATATTCTATATATTGTCCCATGTTTTCTTCTTTTTCAATGGTTTCAAGGATGGGCGTATTGACAAAGCCTGGGCAAATGGCGTTGATTCTCACACCACTGTTCATAAGATTAGTAGCCATCTGCCAATTGGAAGAGGAAAGTTTCAGGTTTCAGTAGTCTTGCAAATGCACAGCATAGGACAGACTGATAATTAAAGCTATTCAAAGGCTCTGATAGGAAAAACACTAGTCAGATATCCTTGTGGCTTTATAACAATGGCAATATTAAAGTTGGTTCATAGCAGAAAGTAAAAGAATATGTATCTAAAGTGTTGAATTAATTTCGGAAAGCCTCATCTAATTAAATTTTTTAAATGAATATTACTGGAAAACTCTTGAAAATACTTAATTATCTAAACTTGCTCTTATCTAGTGAACACTGCCAGAATCTGAAGGTAAGAAGCTGAGGCTTAAACTTAATATCCCAAGTTTTCTTTCAAAGATTAGGGCTGAATAACAGAATAGTTGCTTAAATAATACTGTTAGTGGAAAGTTTTAAGACTTTGATTGATTCTAAAGATACTCTTCATTATCTAGAAGACAAATTTAAGTATTTTCAGACTATCTTTGGTTTAATTTTCACCCCACTGATGTATTGGAACTAGCTGTAAAACAAAATGTAGTTGATTATTTGGGGATTCCATTTGCTTACTTGGCAAAATTAATCTGTAACCCCCCAATTCCCTGGGGCTTTCACGGTAATTTGTGGACAAGCCACAGAGCAGGGAGAAACTTGAATTGCCCAATGCCAATGTTCCAACTGAGGTTCAACAGAATAATACTCTGTTTTCTGGTTTTAGTTCTTCTAACTATAAACAGGTCTCCTTTTCACAGTGCATTTATTTAGTCCATGTTTTTCTTATTGTTGTGCTTTTTGTTTGTGATTTTGCTATTTAAAATGCCCCTTCGCCCAAGCATAGTGTTGAATCGATGTCTAGTGTTCCCAAGCAGGCCTTACCAAGAAAATATGTGTGTTAAATAAGCTTCACTCAAGTGTGAGGTATAAGTGCTGTTGGCCATGAGTTCAACATCAATACAATACATATTAAATAAGGTATCTTTAAACAAAAAATTCACATAAAACTTTACACAGAAATTAACATATGTATTAATTGACCAAAATGTTGTAACCAGAGGCTCCAAGAAAATGCTAATTCAGTGATTAAAAGTGATTTTATAGACCATAACTATCAGAAATAAGAGTTGACTGTACAAGTTCCCAGTCTTGCAATTGTAAATATGAGATTTCTGGTCTTTGAGGTTTACTTTGATTTTTAATACCTTTATGTATTCATTCAAAAGTTGAGTTAAAGATTAAGCCTTTGGAAATTAAATTTCCAGTGAATTTAAGTTAAGATTGTGAGAGCTTCTTATCTTTTATGATTGAACATTTACTGGTCACACATCTGTTTTCTTTATCCTAGTATTTTTTCTGTTGTTAATATTTTTCTCTTCATCTGTCTGGACTCTATTTCTCACTAGACTAACCACTGCTGAGACCTCCCAATTTCCTCATTTCTTCTACATGTGTCCTCTCAACATATTTTCTAACTAGCAGTCAGAATGGTCTTGTTGAAATGGAAATCTGATCTTGTCACTCCTGTGTGTAAAAAATACATCGATGGCTTCACTTTCAATAAAATCTCATTACTACAACCCATAAGACCCTCTTGGTCTGGCTCTTGCTTACATCTTTAGTCATTTCTCATCCTACTTTCCCTTGCTCATCTAGCTTCATCCAAGTTACCTTTTTTTTCAGTTATTATGAAAGGAAAGCATTCCCATTTTACATTGTCTTTTTTAAAAAATTTATTTCAGAGAGGAAGGGAGAGGGAGAAAGATATAGAAACATCAATGATGAGAGAGAATCATTGATTGGCTAACTCCTGCATGCCCCAAACTGGAGATTGAGCCCACAACCCAGGCATATGACCTGACTGGGAATCAAACTGTGACCTCCTGGTTCATAGGTCAATGCTCAACCACTGAGCCATGCCGGCTGGGCCCCTTTTACATTATCAATGTATGTGATCGATTAGGTCTAAAATTTTTTTTTAAAGCTGTGCACACTTTACACACTAGGGCTCCATGGAGACATCATCCTTCACTACTCTACCCAGCGAATTCCTGCCCCACCCTTTCTGCCTGCCCCTATGCTCTTACTCAGTGACAGGTAATGGCTGAAGCATACTGCAAATTCTCTTTAAGGAAAGCAGAAGTTAATACTTTTTAGATTTGGAGTCAATTTTAAAATTAAAAACTATCTTCCCATTATGTAGTCTTAGAATATTTTTCAATAACACATCTATGTTCAGAATCTACTTCCTTTTAAAATGATCTATTCTTACCCTAACTCAGTGGTTCTCAACCTTCTGGCCCTTTAAATACAGTTCCTCATGTTGTGACCCAACCATAAAATTATTTTCGTTGCTACTTCATAACTGTAATGTTGCTACTGTTATGAATCGTAATGTAAATATTTGACATGCAGGATGGTCTTAGGCGACCCCTGTGAAAGGGTCGTTTGTCCACCAAAGGGTTCATGACCCACAGGTTGAGAACCGCTGCAAATGGTTTGGCTCAGTGGGTGGAGCGCCGCCCTGTAGACTGAAAGGTTCCAGGCTCGATTCTGGCCAGGGGCACATGCCCAGGATGTGGCTCAATCCCCAGTAGGGGGTGTGCAGGAGGCGGCCAATCAATGATTCTCTCTCATCATTGATGTTTCTATCTCTCTCTCCCTCTCCCTTCCTCTCTGAAATCAATAAAAAAAATAAAATGATCTATTCTTTATTTGGTCCTTTATGTGATCTAAAACTATCTTTTTATAATAAAGACTGAACTATAATATTCTTACTTTACTCAGATGCACTGAATCCTGAACTTATTCCCCTCGACTGTATAGAACTCCTGCTACACACATGTACAGAGAGAAAAAGAGATAGTGTGGTTGTTACATCCTCACCGCTGCTGAGCGCGTGAATCCAACTATGCCATGCTTTGAAGCGCAATAAACAGGCTGCTGTGCAACTGGCATGAGTCCTAAAACAGACAACAAATTTAAACAATTTTATTAAACAATAAGCAGATGAAACCCAATCATAGCTATGCAAAGGAATAATTTGTGCCTGTTCATTTTAAAATTAATCTAGAAAATACACTGAAACAATCACCAGACAGCTTTGTAGAACTCACTAGTCTTATCATGGTCACTCCTTCCATGATCTCTATCTACTGCACTGCCCAGAATGCACTGTAGGTAAGTTATAGCTGAGGGATGCAATCAAAAGCGATATATAACTTTTTCTGTTTCCCCGACTTTCTGTCAAGAGAAGTCAATGTTATCTAAAACTTATAGAGAATCGTCTTTAAACCCAGTAAATTACCATCTCATTTTCAGTCTTTAAGCCTGGATTTTTAAAAGTACATAGTCTACATTTTTAAAGGTTTCCAAATGGCTGAAGAGGCTTAAATTGCTTAAATGGAATTTGGAGAATCTATGGTTTTAATTCATTTCCTTTCATAATCATGTACAGTATTCAAACAATATTAGAATTTGTTTAACTTTCCACATGTAGGCAATAGGAACTAATCAAAAACATAATTAAATTCATGGTCTGGAGAAAAAGCAGTACTCTAGAGTGTATAGCATCTTTTCTCCCCTACCTCCTAGTCCAATTCTCCCCTCCCCGCCAATAAATCAGCAAGAAAAACTCCTTTTACTCTAGTAACTATTACTATCCAGCCTATCTCTCATAATTGTCAATTCTCCATCTAATCAACAGTAAGACTTTTAACTACAGCTGTCTGTATATTTCAATTTTTATCTAATTTCTTGAAGTAACTCATTTTCACATTTTTAAAATTCATGATTTCTGAGTCAAGAAACAGTGATCCCTGATTACTCTAATGATATTACTACCAAAAGTCATGCTAATAACGCTCAATTATTCTGCTGAGGCGTGCTCATCTCCACCCAGCTAACTAGTTCCAGAGCACCACCAATGAGTTGAGCATGTTGTGCCAAAGTTCAGCAATAAATGCAGACCTTAACCACCCCCTGGGTGCCTGCCAAGAGCAATTTAAATCCTGAGAATGGTAATTCACACACTGTGCGTCCGCCCCGTGATCTCAAAGTACTGGAACAGGTAGTTCCCTTCTTGTTTTGTTTTGCTTGTAGGTTAAGTAAATGTGTAAATTACTTTACGTTTGGCAATATCAGTCAACAAGAAGTCACGATGCCTGCAGAGTGTACACAGGTGTATGAGGAGTTGAGATGGAGGCAATAAATGGTTGCTGTTTTACCCTCTCCTTAAATGTTTCTCAGACAGAGGCAGTGTGGTTGTGGGATGGTGTCCACGGACTGCAGGAAATGCAGAGTGAACCTACATCAGCGATAAGCTAGTCGACTCGGCCACAAAGAGCACAGGGATGCTGTTCATAAATGTCCAAGTTGAATTTGGAATGAATTTCTGTTACGTAAGTGGAGCTACTGAACTTCTGAACCCAAGCTAGTTCAAAGAGTCACAGACGTACAATATATCAAATACTGTTATGTTGTTTCTGTTTAAGAAGCAAGCAAGCACAAGGCATATTCTTTCCTTTAAAGGTAGAACGGAGGAGCGTGCAACCAGAAAGAGAAGATATTTGCATTTTAAAAATGCCACCTGGTTTTATGAATCTTGTTGTAACATTTCGATGACATTTTCACTGCTATCCTGCAAAAACATTTGCTCTTGCATTGTTTCACTTTTTGATAATATACAGATCAAAAGCTGCATAAATTAATTTCAGATGTGCAGAAATTGTGCATCCTTTTCTCTTTATATTTTTATTAAGGTATAATTGACATACAATATAAGTTTTGACATACGTGGACACCCATGAAACCACAACCACAATCAAGGTAATAGACATACATATCCATTTTCTAAGTTTCCTGATGTCCCTTTGTCATCTCTTCCTCCCGCCTTTCCCCTTCCCCTAGGCCACCACCGATCTGCTGCTTTGTGCCACAATAGATTTGTTTGCTTTTTCTGGAAGTTTACATAAATGTAATCATGTAGTGAAACTCTTTTTTGTCTGACTTCTTTCACTCAGGATAATAATTTTGAGATTCATCCATGTGGTAGTGTGTATCAATAGCTCATTTTTCTTTTCTGAATAGTATTTCACTGTAAAGTTAAACTTATCAATTGTATATACATTCACCTGCTGATGGATATGTGGGATCTTTCCAGTTTGAGGATATTATAAATAATAAAAATAATTCTATTCTTCAATTATTTTATTTAGGCAAGTTGCAATTAATTTAGTTAAATAGAGAACTTTCCTTTATCTCCACAATACATGTAGATGTTAACTGTTGCTTCTTATATGTCCAATAGGTAGGATGGGTTAGTGATCTGCAACTTTTTTCCCCTACCTTCCAAATGACTTTGTTTCCCACCCCCCAATGATATAAACTTTTTCTTGGTCTCCTGCTCCCCCAAGGGGTGCCCCACACCTGCTGCCTTAACACCTCAGAACTTTGGTGTCCTTGACCTCAGACATCACTTTGCCACCCACAATTCTGTGGGTGCTGGTCTTCTGAATGGCTCTGTATAGAGTTGCTGTTGTCCAGGGCATCACCAAGATCAAAGTCCTCTTCTTCTTTCAGTAGGAGCTGGTCAATGGTGATCTCGGCCTCCAGCTTGACCTTGTTTAGCAGGGCCTCATACTCCTGGGCCTGATGCTGCCCCTCTGCCCCTGATTGGGCCAGGTCTGCCTCCAGCTGCAGCAGGATCCCAGTGAGCTGTCCATCTGAATGGCATAGCCCGTCTCCACCTCCCTCAGGCTGTTCTCCAAGCTGGTTTTCAGATTTCTTGTCAAGTCCAAGTTGACCTCCAAGGACTGGACCATATGTCTCAGCTCCTTGACTATCATCTCAGCAGCTCCTATGTCAGTGGTCTGTGAGGTGACCAGTGTGGTGCTTGCCTCAATCAGCTGGGACCAGCACTTGTCTGGATCCTCTTGGTTCTTCTGAGCCAGCTCTTCATACTGGGCCCAGATATCTGCCATGATCTTGCTGAGGTCCTGAGATTTGGGGGCATCCAACTGTATGGTCAACCTAGGTTGTCAATCTGGTTTTGTAGACCATTTACTTCCTCTTCGTGGTTCTTCTTCATGAAGAGTAGCTGCTCCTTGAGAGCTTCATCTCTGCCTCCAGCTGCAGCTGAGTGATACTGATGTCGTCAATCACACTGCCTTTGAAGCCCATTGATGTCACTCTCCACAGACCAGTGCATGGCCAATTCCATCTCATACTTGAGTCTGAAGTCATCAGCAGCAAGATGGGCATTGTCAATATGTAGAGTGATGTGAGCCTTGTCCACTGAACTTGCCAAGATCTGAGCCCTTGGGTCCTCAATGGTCTTGAAATCATGCCCCCAGGCTCTGACTTGGGGTCCCTTCTTTTCCAGGTGTTCCCAGATTTTGCTTTCTAGTCTCTGATTATCAGCCTTCAGACTCCTCACCCTCTCCAGGTAGGAGGCCAGGCGATCATTCAGGCATTTTGCATAGTCTCCTTCTCACTTTGGATGACCCCTATACCTTCCAGATCCCTGGACATCCCTGAAGCCAAGTCCTCAGGCCCCCACCCGCCCCACATGCTGGTGGAGTGGGACACAGAAATCTGGGAGCCTGAGACCCCAGCACCTGCATAGACCCTGGACAGGCTGCTGGCCAGCTGGGCCCGATGGCTTGCCACTAACTGCACAGAGCTCAGGGTCCAGTAGTTTGTGGAGAGGCTGGAGCAGGTGCGGAAGCTCATGTTGTTCAGGGAGGAAGGTGAGAGGTTCAAGCAGCTCAACTGACTTTCAATTGAGAGGTTTACTATCTACTCAGTCTGTTGCTTTGAAAAGGTATATTAAATGGAGGAAGACAAACTCTTTTTCAAGCCAGATCAACCGTATCCAAAATTTTAGTTAGGTGAAAAATTTTTAGAAATCAAACATTTTCTATTGGTTCTTAAGACACATTTTTTTTTCTTTATAAGTATAGCATTATTGCTATTGTGGTTTAGTTTCAGTATTGGTTAACCATACTTCTATTACTTACCTTAAACCCACACACCAAAATATAACGTTTCTATGTGCTTCAAACAAAATGTGTTCTGATGCTGGTAATAAGGGTCAACATGGAGCACTGTGCTAAGTGTGCCAAGTGTTCATGGTATGGATTCTGGGGACACCATTCATGTGGTAGTTTGCATAAATAGTACCCCCTAATGTGTGTGGTTTACAATCTACACAACTATACACAGCAGTCCTCTATGGTAGAGGAAAGTGACTAAGCAAAAGAGACAGAAAATGTGAAGGGATTAAGAAAAACAAAAAAAACAAAACCACCTCACAGACACAGACAATAGTATGGTGATTACCAGAGGGAAAAGAGGGATGGGGAAGGTAGAAGAGAGTAAAGGGGGGTAAACAGTAACAGAAGGAGACTTGACTTTGGGTGGTGAACACACAATTCAATATACATATGATGCATTATAGAACTGTAGATTTTGAAACCTATATAATTTTATTAACCAATGTCACCCCAATAAACTTTACCAGAATGTTACTTCTTATACTATTTAGTCATTTAAAAATGTCCTCTTAATCGAGTTTATCAAGAGGGATTATAGCACAGTGGTTTTGGACTTTGGGTGTCAGACTGTCTGAGTTCAAATCCTGAATCCACCATAATGAGCTATGTTAGCTTTGGAGGGGTAACTGCTTTGTACCACTGTGTTTTTCTTCTGTGAAATGGAGTAGGAATAGTAATTACTGTTGAGTCTTGCTTGAGATAATTTACATAAAATACTGAAATGAGGGCCTGGCAAATAATAAACATTACTATTTGCTATTCTTTTTTTATAAAAATATAAATTAAAGTTCAACATTTTCCCTTAAAATGAAACATCTTAAAGTCCTGTTTTATTGACTTATTTACCTATTTATCCGCCTTGCACCTTCTTAGGAAAATGTATCTTTTGCACTAAAATGCCACTAAAA